CTTCTTCTTCTTCTTCTTCTTCATCTTCTTCTTCTTCTTCATCTTCTTCTTCATCTTCTTCGTCGTGCCCCGTGACTGCCCAAATGAGTGAAGTGTGCGGTGATTCTAAGATCGACGGCACTCATCTGCATGTCATACTGACTGACAGTATTATTTCTCTTCCCCAGCAGACTCCAAGGGCATTTAAATTAAAGGTACAGTGTTCTGCACTAATACATATAAAGGCTCTCTGAAGCCTAGAAACCCTTTTAATAAGTTAAATTCGCAGCGAATAAATTCGCATCGAATCGAATTTATTCCGCAAATTCGGCGAATCAGCCGAATCGAATTTTTGAATAATTCGCTCATCTCTACTAAAGACCTTCAAACTTCATGTGGCCTTCAGATTAGCACAACAACAGTGCGTAGAGAGCTTCATGGAATGGGTTTCCATGGCCGAGCAGCTGCATCCAAGCCTTACATTACCAAGTACAATGCAAAGCATCGGATGCAATCGTGTAAAGCATGCCTCCGCTGGACTCTAGAGCAGTGATGACAGGTTCTCTGGAGTGACAAATCATGGTTCTCTGTTTGACAATCCAATGGATGTGTCTGGGTTTGCCAGGAGAACAGTACTTTCCTGATTGCATTGGGCCAAGTGTAGAGTTTGGTGGAGGGGGGATTATGGTGTGGGGTTGTTTTTCAGGGGTTCGGCTTGGCCCCTCAGTTCCAGTGAAGGGAACTCTTAAGGCGTTAGCATACCAAGACATTTTGGACAATTTCATGCTCCCAACTTTGTGGGGACAGTTTGGAGAATGGCCCCTTCCTGTTCCAACATGACTGCGCACCAGTGCACAAAGCAAGGTCTATAAAGACATGGAAGAGCGAGTTTGTGGTGGAGAAACTTGAATGGCCTGCATAGAGTCCTAACCTCAACCTGATAGAACGCCTTTGGGATAAATTAGAGGGGAGACTGCAAGCCAGACCTTCTCATCTGACATCAGTGCCTGACCTCACAAATGCGCTTCTGGAAGAATGGTCAAACATTCCCATAGACACACTCTTAAACCTTGTGAATGGCCTTCCCAACAGAGTTGAAGCTGTTATAGTTGCAAAGGGTGGGCCAACTCAATATTGAACCCTATGGACTAAGACTGGGATGCCATTAAAGTTCATGTGCGTGTAAAAGGCGGGCATCTCAATACTTTTGGCAATTTAGTGTATATGTAGATCCTATTCTCAACTATGTAAAGAGTTGGGCATTCAGATCGGTGAGGGAAGTGCATATTGTAGATATTCGACCTCTCAGAAGCTTGACAGGATAGTTCAAAGGTTGTAAGCATCAAAGGTCCCACTAATAGATTAAGCTTAGCTCATACAAAGGATACTGTTTGGTTATACTGAAATGTTTCAGTGGGTGACATCTGTAGATTTTCACTAAAACACTATAAGGAGTTTGGCTTGATCCACTATTGAATCAAAGTCGGTACAAGCCCAGGTGTGAACTCAGGATTGCAAAATATAGTGGCTAAAGGAGTATGAAGAGAAGATAAGGATTTGTGACTTCATAGTCTGTCCCAGACTGCTAAGAAATAAGACAATGTTGGCCACGATATAGGGGGACGTAATCGATTGGGAAGCCACATTAGGGATCCATTAGCATGAGGATAACAAGAGATGGCTTCAATAAAGACCCACAGAGGCTTAGCGCCCTTGGCTGTGGTATAGGAGAGCTGAGTTATCTAGGCAGCCTGAAAATATGCCTGAAATATAGGAAGTCCCAAACTGCCATGTAGTTTTGGAGAATATAGTGGTAACTTATTCATCTGTGGGCATTTATTACTCCAAACAACTATGTAGTCATAGTAATTCTCCTCTAGGGACTGCTATCAGCAAAGTCCTGAAATAATAAGGTAGCCTGGGTAAGAATGTTATTTTAATCAAATTGTTTCTACCAAACCACAATAAGGGATAGTCTGTCCAGAGACGTAGGTCTTACCTGAGTCGTTTAAAGAGTGGGGGGTAGTTTGTTCGAATTAACCCCCAAATAAGGAAGGGAGCATTGAGCCCCTTAAAAAGTTGGATATTCTGCACCGCCGGAGGTGGGTAAGGAGATATTAAGAGCAATCATCTTATGGGAATTTTAAGGAAAGTTCTGAGACCTGAGAGAACTGATGTGATAAATCTAATAAGTTAGGAAAGATTACCTGAGGGTGTGAGATGTACATAAGGACATTATCGGCAAACAGGGCACATTTGTGCTCCTGTTGTCCACAAAGTATACCACAAATGTCTGGATGGGAACGAATAGCATTGGCAAGGGGTTCAATGGCCAGTGCAAAAAGTAACCCTGTCTGGCTCCATGTCGGATAGTAAAGGAACAGGATTTGTAGCCCCATAAGGAAACCTGAGCTAATGCAGTACAGTATAGGGTTTTCAGTAGAGTGATGGCCGTGGAACTGAAACCAAAAGTATCTAACATGTCAAATAGGTATTCACATGCCAAACTATCAAAAGTCTTGTGAAGGTCTACTGATAGACATAGCCCCTTTAGAAGTGTCTCTTGCGCATACCTGTTTCCATCATTGCAATGCAGTCTAAAATACTACTACTTATGGTATGATTTTTGACTTGCTGAGGAATCCTGTTTATGGTACCTAATGCCCAACTCCAAGCAGCTAAAATATTATTCCTTGCAGAGGGACCGCATCAGCACTGCAATGGTTAATAGCATTTTTTAGGGGAGAGGAGAAGTTGTTTCACTTACCTGCTTCCCCGGAAGATGGCACTCCCCCATGCTCTGGCAGTGGACCATCCCTCAGTGTCATCACGTTCAAAGCAGGACTTACAGATTCTGCTTTGGTCTTGATGACGTGAGGACTCTAGTTTGCTAGATTATGGGAGAAGAAGCTGCAGGCACTGATCTAGCTGTGGAGAGAAGCAGAGGATTGGGTAATAAAATATTTTTTTTTGTCTTCTGTTTTTTTGTTCACCTAGATCTAAACAAGCAATTAACTCTTCCAGTGACTCAGTCAAATCGCCTTTTAATCTTGTGACTCCATCCAACAGACTTCTCCTTAAAATTTTTTGTTGAACCTGCCCACAAGTGTCCAGTTTGTAAAATCATGTGGTAAATACAGCCTTGCTGCACATTTAATAAGTAAAATGAATGGGTACATTTGAGAGCCTAGGCTAAGCTTTGCATCTGAGGGTCTGTCAATAGTCTATGCTTCTACGTTCTACGTATAATTCAATATTTGCTTACTGACATATAATATTATACACCAGAACTGACTAGGACAAAAAGTGATCAGCGTAACTAATATATGAAATAGTTCCACTTCTGTTGGCCAATTATTGCCTAATGAAAATTATATTACTTTTAAGAAATCAGATACTGTAGAAAGCCTCAGTTACAAATGCCTTTTGTAGATGGGTTAATAATGTCAATTTATTATGCTTAAAGCCCATTAGTGGCGCAGGTCAGACTGACATATTTTTCTCCATTTGAATGCACTGCTGACTTTATTGGTGGGGTTAATAATGTGCTTCAAGTAGATTAAGTGTGTGTGTCTGAGAAGCCTGATTTTCAACTGCTCTAGATTAATATAAATTGAAAAATTATATATCCATCTTACATAGCAGAGTACTTATGATGTCTGCTGTACTGTCAGCATCTCATGAACAAGATGTGGTTTTATTGATCAGCATTAATAAAACCAGTTAAAAGTACTCTATCAATATCCAGGGTGTGCCAGCAACAGCCCAGCAATGCACTGCTAATTGTTTCCAGCAGAATCATTTCATTTTCTCTTTTAAACCACTTGCTAACCGCCCAACAGTAATTTTACTGCTGACCAGTCGATTGAGCTGGCACGGCAATGTACCCATACGTTGCCTCACTCATGCACACTGCATGCCCCCCCTGAAGCATCCTGCACCGCAATCTGCGATCGCTGCTGCGTCCGCCGGATGTAGGGCCACTGTGATTGACACAATACCCCGGGATCACTGTGCAATCACGTGGTAAACAATAGTCCTGACTGGAATCCATTCATGACATTATTGTTTACTACTAAGTGCGATCTGTGATTGGTCATCAGTGATCATATGGTACCTGGGCCAGTCACAGCACCCTGTACCATGTGATTAGCTGTGGCCAATCGCAGCATCACAATAGTAAACAATGAGCCATGAATGAAAGCCATTCATGACAGTTCAAATGATTGCTGTTACAGTGATCACAGTGTAAAAAGAAGAAAATAAAATCCCTGATCACCCCCCCAGAGTATGGTGACCCTGAACCTGAACTACTCCGAGTATGATATCACTGCACTGGTGAGAGTATGTAAAAAAAAATTGTGGAAAAAAAAAACAAATGGCAACTTAAAATAACTGACCATGCCTCTTACTAAAATAGCTTGGACTGTCTGCTTGCTTTCCAGAAAGGGGTCATTTGGGGGGGGGGGGGGGGGGTGGTGTTTGTACTGTCCTGGCAATTAAGGGCCTCAATTGATCAATTTGCAAAAATATACACCTACATTTATAGACTCTCAGCTTCCAGGTTTTTATAGCCAAAAGCTTAATTGAACAAGCTAAGGTTAGAAGCTGATTATCTACCATGTACAGCTGCACCATATTCTGCATGACCAGCTTTAGTAAATCTACCCCTATAACATTCAAACAGACTAAATAATTTACACTGATTTGGGTTATTTTTACCAAAGAGCTCTATCAGAATATATGTTAGCTTAACATTTCTGAGGACAGATTATTTGTTTGCAAAATTTTATAACAGAAACTTAGAAAAACATGTTGAAGAGGGATGTTTTTTTTTTTAAAAAGTTTGGTGTTATTTTCATTTATATAACAAAAAATGAAAAACCCAATGGTGATTAAATATCCCCAAAAGAAAGCTCTATTTGTGTGAAAAAATGATAAAAATTTAATTTTTGGGTACAGCCTTGCATGATCGAGCAACTGCCAGTTAAAGTAGCACAATGCTAAATGCAAAAAATGCTCTGGTCATAAAGAGGGTAAAACCTTCTGGAGGTCAAGTGGTTAAGTCCCTGGAGGTGGCATTTGTTACTATGTGGACTCGTCACATAAACGCAAACCAATCAGAATGGATACAAACTTGCAACAAGCAATTTTAAATTTGGAATCAATGAACAACCTGCAATCACTGAGGCTATCTATATTACATATATATATGCAGGGGCGGACTGACCATTTGGAAACTCGGGCACTGCCCGAGGTCAGTAGGGGGCCCCATGAGATGCCCCTGGTACCTTTTTCATAGGCTTTTTTGAGTTTGGGCGAGGACACAGGGGCCCCATGATCCCCTATTGCCCAGGGGGCCCCATGAGTTGTCAGTCTGCCCCTGTATATATGTATTATTATTTTGGTATGTAATAATGCTTTAATACATTTTTATACATGTTATGTTTCATAAGTATAACATTTATTGCTTCCTAGAAGGTAGTAGGAGAGGTGCACTGTTCCACTGGCTTCTTCTCCCCCTTGAGTTTTTTGAGCATGGCTGCAAGTTTCGTCTAGCGTGCTGCTTTCCCCTAAGCCAGTGGTGGGCAAACCTTTTTTTTCAACTGAGCCGAATCTCGCCAAAACCACGATTGAAATTTATTTTGAGAGCCACATTTTTAAAACTGAAAATACATCCCCCATATAGTAATTCATCCCCCATAGTAATTCATCCCCCATAGTAATTCATCCCCCATATAGTAATTCATCCCCCATAGTAATTCATCCCCCATATAGTAATTCATCCCCCATATAGTAATTCATCCCCCATATAGTAATTCATCCCCCATAGTAATTCATCCCCCATATAGTAATTCATCCCCCATAGTAATTCATCCCCCCATCCCCCATAGTAATTCATCCCCCATAGTAATTCATCCCCTATATAGTAATTCATCCCCCATAGTAATTCATCCCCCATAGTAATTCATCCCCCATATAGTAATTCATCCCCCATAGTAATTCATCCCCCATATAGTAATTCATCCCCCATAGTAATTCATCCCCCATAGTAATTCATCCCCCATAGTAATTCATCCCCCATATAGTAATTCATCCCCCCCCATATAGTAATTCATCCCCCATATAGTAATTCATCCCCCCTATAGTAATTCATCCCCCATATAGTAATTCATCCCCCATATAGTAATTCATCACCCCCCTATAGTAATTCATCCCCCATATAGTAATTCATCCCCCATATAGTAATTCATCCCCCATATAGTAATTCATCCCCCCATATAGTAATTCATCCCCCTATAGTAATTCATCCCCCATATAGTAATTCATCCCCCATAGTAATTCATCCCCCCTATAGTAATTCATCCCCCATAGTAATTCATCCCCCCTATAGTAATTCATCCCCCACAGTAATTCATCCCCCCTATAGTAATTCATCCCCCATATAGTAATTCATCCCCCCTATAGTAATTCATCCCCCATAGTAATTCATCCCCCATATAGTAATTCATCCCCCATAGTAATTCATCCCCCCCCCATAGTAATTCATCCCCCCCCATAGTAATTCATCCCCCCATAATAGTCCCCCATAATTCATCCCCCCTATAGTAATTCATTCCCCATATTGTGTCAATTCACTTACCTTTGCTCCACGCGTTTTCCTCTCGCCGTGTTCCCGCGCCGTTCCGGTCTTCAGGGCGGACTGTGAGAGGAGAGGAGTTCGTCACGCTGCCCTGCCTACATCCTGACAGCCAATGTTTGCCACGCTCCGCAGGCCGGATTAAAAGGTCCGCCGGGCCGTAGTTTGCCCATTGCTGGGCTAGCTGCAGAGTCCTGACTTTTGGGGTGGCCGCCCGAGAGGAGGGAGGGGCAGCGGGTGCCCGGCACACAGAAGAGCCGCATTGAAGTGTGTAAAGAGCCGCATGTGGCTCGCGAGCCGCGGCTTGCCGACCACTGCCCTAAGCCACTGCTCCAGCGGCTTATTGTTTATGTGATGTGTGCCCAACATGTCCAGGCTGTTCACCATCCTTGATATGGAGCAAGACTCTCTTCTCCAGTCTTCACCATGTTCCTCTGCACCTCCACTGCCATTCCAGGGGGTGGCAGAAGCGCAGGAAAGCGCATTCCTACCAGGTTACAGCTCCTGTTTGCTCTGCAGCTATAATCCGGGACAACAGGATGTTAGGAGGCATCAGGTGAAAGACTGCTGAGCATTACCAGGCCGCTGCCCACTGATATAGTCTGCGATGTAGTGAGTTCACCAGACAAATTTTTTGTTTGAAAGAGGTAGTATTTGCCTAATCTCTGGATTTAGAGACCACATCGCTCCCCCAAAAAGGCCTTCCTCTTCCTATCTACCCAGAAGGCCGGCAATCCTTTATGTTAAGGAACGGTCAGCATCTACTCTCTGGCTGACACAATCACTGTACATTTCAGTACCTATGCAGTAGCCTCACACGTATGGGTCCCCTACAGTTGCTTTTCATTCTATGAGTAGCCACAAATTTACACTTTTCAGTATGTGAGTTATGACTTAGGAAGAGAAGACTAAGACTGGCCATACATTAGTAGATTTTCAAACGAACGTTCGTACGAACATTTGTATGAACATACTTACGAACATTCTTACAAAAATTTTTAGTACATTCAATGACTTGAAGACTTTATGTTGTTGAAATGTACTTACATTTATTTTTTTTTTTTTTTGCAAATTATTTATCAATGCCAACAGTACAAAAATAGTTGACATGCATACAAGTATGTTGATACAAAATCGCCAAGATTGGAACACTTAAGGTCACAGTGTGTGTACAATGGTTTGTATATCTTGTCTGAGACAGTATCAAAACATTGTTACTTCAAGGAAGCAACTGGAATAGAATCACCTGTTAAGAAATCCAGTATAATGAGTCCACTGGTAGAAAAGTATGTGCAGCCAGTGGGGAAAAAAAAAAAAAATGCACTGTCAAAATCTTCCATGAACAAGGGGGAAACGTAGGAGAAAGGATGAGGGGGGAGACAAGAGGGAAACTTAGGAGTAGGGACTGAGGGTGTAGGTGATGAGTTTAGAAGGGGGGGGGGGGGGGTAGTCTCCAAGGGCTAGTCTCAAAAGTTTCTTTGTATTTATCAGAGAGTTTTAATTGAGATCAATAAAGCCAAGTCTTATGAAAGCAGTCCTCTTGTTTTCTGAGGGACAGGGTAAGGACTGACATTTTCATTATATTGTTCACTGTTTTAATCTTCAACATTGTGTATGTTTTCAACACTTGATTTTTGGAATGAATGGCCTTTCCTGTATGAAAACCAAATTCACTGTTGGAAATTCATTTGAGAAAATATTTCCAACCTGCTCCTTTGAATTTAATTGTCAATGGGGTCAAGACAGAACCAACAAAAAAAAAAAACCAACATTCTTAAAATGAAACATTTTAGTTCGGTTCACACTGATGTGAATCTTATGCGGATCAGATGCAATCAATAAAACACAGATTCACACGTAATCTACAAAAGCATTATTTCCAATGAAGGCTGTACACATACTGTATATGCGGTGCAAATTTGTCCACAAAAGGGTCCTCTGCGAGTTTAGTTCACATATGGTGCGAATTTCATCTCCTGCTATGCCCAGTCCTCTCAGAGATCACATTCAATTCGCACCTATCACAGTAGAAATTTCACCACATCAGATTTGCACCGCATCAGTGTGAACCGGTGCTTGTATTGTCCCCCCCTATTGTACAGCGCTGAGCAAACCCTTTGGCGCTATATATAAACTCGTAGTAATAATAATAATAATAATAAACAAAATACAACTAGTGTATGGCCAACTTAAGGAAATGCTTCTTCCTGTTTGCAGTAGACTGTATAATTCTCCTAGGCTCCACTTCTGTGCCTAGACACCAGCATATGACTGCAATTCATATACAATTTTTTTTTTATTTCAATAAGTTTTTATAAGTTTTCAAAATATCGAACCAAAAAAAAGGAAAAGCCATACATAATACATGTCAAGCATGGAAATAAACAAAAAGACCCCCAGAAAGGGTACCTGCAAAGGCATAGTACACAAATGTGACATAAAAACCATTAAAAGTAAAAAATGGCAAATATGAAGAAGAGCAATCTTTAAACAGAGAGGGATGATAAGTCCCATCCCTTCTTCAGAGGGAATCATAGGACAGCCTCAGCAAACTTTATGTTTCAGTACTAAAGCCAAAAAATCTCCAATCAAATACTAGTTTTTGATGATAAAAGCCCCATTTAAAAAACATACGCTTGCTGTTTATTGTGAAATTTCTGAAAGTTACTCTTGTAGATTTTTAAAGCTAATGACAGGTCCACCTTAAAGAGATTATAGATTACCACTACAGGTAGCCATTTCATACAATGCTTGTAATTTTATTTTCTATGGATAGCAGTTCCTTAAACTAGACTGAAAAGGTACTATAATGTGTTTTATATGTGTCTGGAAAGGTTCACTTGTTCAAAGTGTATTAAAATTATCTTTATCAAGGATATTTATCACCGAGCCAGTGCAATTGGCGGGCAAATGAAAAGAAAGTGTTTTATGGTCATCTTGTGATCCGCTATTTTCCAAGTGATGAGCAAAGTCCAGATTGTTGCCTTCAAAGGTCCACAGTGATCACTTTATTCTTCTCCTTCCTCTTGCCTTGCCAAGCCAAGCGGTGTTCTCAGAGTTTTACACCTTGTAAAGACATTCCAGTGGATCCTGTGCTCTCGGCAGATGTTGTGAAAGGGATACGCGGGATGAAGACAGAGCCTTCTGCCAGGCTGACGTGTTTGAAGTGTAACATTGTGCTCTCGTAAAAGTAGGTTGTTGATATCTGTGGTGTGAGCTGCTTTCCCTGTGCCAAGTTTTAACTCCACTGCCAAAGATAATAACTGCCTTATAGTGGCATTAGCAAAATGCAGTCATTGGATTAGAAAAGAGGTGCCGTCATGAAACAAAAATGTACTGTACATAATTTTATAGAAAATTTTAGTGCCGATGTTCCGGAACCCTGCGATTTCCTAAAATATCTCTGTTTAGGTTGGCCAACAAAACTATATCCTCTGCTTTGTACTAAAGAAAGGATGTGGAATTTTCAGGAAAAAAAATAGTCTCTAATCTTTCCTAAGGAGCACTTGTATTGAGGAGCTTGGGGAGAGGAAGTACCCATGGAAAACTCAAAGCATTGTTGGAGACAGTTTCCAACCATGCCATAAGGTCTTTAAACCTGCTTTTCTCAAACTTTT